GGACGGAACTCAACGAGAAAGTAAGTGATTCTTATTTCTTATTTCAACTGTTGCATATATTAGCTGCAACATATGAATCAAGATGCTATGACCGAAAAAATTTTGATTGACAGATGACCATTGATATATGATTGGCCGAATTTAGGTGTTCAGGCTGACATAGAACTAACTGGCCTGCATAAGATAACGAAAAAAAGAATAAAAATTTTGGAACAATATCATGTGATAAACATTACATTTATATACATGTTTAAGCCAGAATGATTTGACATTTAATATGACTTCCCTACGACTTTAAATGTTTGCCTCATTGTTGGCATAATTTAAATGTTAAAACATTTAAAGATTCATGTATTTGTTGGTCCGTTTCTCTAATTCACTAATCTGACAGTAAAACTTGCTGAAGATAAAGGTCAGCATCATAACTGCAGACCATTGACAGACCAGCACATCTCAGAACAGGCAATGGAACTGCCAAGTCTGAGGCCTGCTTTATTATAGTTTCTCACTTATACCATGTTTAGGCAGTATATAAAAGTGAACTTAAGAAACAATCATAATTTTCTATTTTATGCATTGTTACAAAAATACAGACCCAAGTGTATTAAATTAAGTTATAAGGTTTAGCTGTTTGGATACTTCACTGGCAGATGACTGTTAGCGGGACAGCCAAAATCTCAATTGTTTGTCAAGGTAAGAACATTATATGTTTGGACCAGAAACGGGTTTTAAAAAACAATAAACATTTTTTTTCTCATTATGTTTGCAGTTTCCTCTCAGCAGAGGTGGGTAGTAATTAGTTGCGTTTACTCAGTTACATTCACTTGAGTAACTTTTTGAGAAAAATGTACTGTAAAGAGTAGTTTTTCTGGATCGTACTTTTTACTTTTACTTGAGCAAAAATAAGAGGGATCACTACTCTTACTTGAGTAAAATATCTGACTTTCTAACCATCATAAGTGACTTCAGTCAATAAAGAACAGGCTTGTTTTAAACAAAAATGCAACCAGAAAGACAAGCATCTACAATTAACGCTTCCTTGCTTTGATGTTCTTTTTCAATTGCTGGTCCTTCTGTTACATCTGGAGATCAAAAGGAAGTAAAGGTTTACTAAATCATGTTTCAGGAAGTTATTTGACATACTCTAATCTACATACAAAACATACTACCAATAATGAATACAGCGATTTTATTGCAAAATATCTTGCCGTTCATCCAAATGAAATTGTTGTTAGATTATTTATTTTATTATATTAAGTCACTTTAACACTTTTTTCATGTTTGCAGTGAAGAAGATAAAACAATTGTGTTAAAGTAACAAAATATGGTTGCATTTTTTTTCTATGGTACAATTTTTGGGTAGTCTACCCACCTCTGCTTCTCCGTAATGAAACCTACCAGCAAACAGATCTAGTTTATTGCTTTAAAACTCTTTGAAAGTCAAAAAACGAAATCTGTTTAATTGTTACATGCAAAATACAAACATTGGTTACCTCTTTTCACACTTAAAGAACAGTTTTCTATCACCATAGAAACTCTCATGTAGATAAAGGTTGCAAAGGCAGCAGAACATAAACAGGTAAGAAGGTATAGGCCTTGTGTTCATCAGCCTGATTCCTACTTTAAAGCATAAGCTGTTGTTATGGACTACCCTTGGTAAATTCTGCAATGTATTGATTCTACAGATTTGTGCAATGAAAAAAAATTCCTCAATCTATCATAGAAGGCAACTTGACTTCAAGGTAATTCTAAATGCTTCGATGGAAAGATGTGCAGTAACATCAGGAGCATGCTTCTCCAACACTGAGGTATTGTCTCTTAATGAGAGGACATGTGTTATTGTACAGTTTGAAGTCAAAAGTATAGAGTTTTAAACCATTTCTAGAACTGTAGACATTAATGAAGAACCCAAATCTGAACAATCTAAGCCCAGCCTTCTCTTGACAACTGCTGAGACAATGAGCAGATATATTGTATATATCAGTGATTTCAGGTGTTGATTTACCCCATAATGTTTAAGATGTTTTAATAAATATATAGAGTAGATTTATAGAGCTTTTTCGTTTCCCTGTTTAATATACAAGCACACACACATCAAGCACAGAGACGATGCTTTTGGTCAAAGGCGTTACGTCAATCCCATTTGACGATCCAAACAATCAGAAACTTTTTCAAGCAGTTTTAAGATGAAAAATCTACTGTTCAAGATCTTATGAGGAAAAATAAACATTCCATAATCAAAACAATCCATATGTACAAAAAGTGTATAAGAAGCTAAAAGTGGTCCATGGCGAACGACTAACCCACATTTCAAACTTATGTCTCTCAACCAGATTGGAGCCTTGATTTTGCTGACTGGATGTTTTCTCACGCTCAAGTTAATTGACGTTTGATTGATTTAGCTTGCTTGGACTTTTTTTGGTCAGATTTTTACATTTCCTATCACACTTCATCTGAAAAGAAGAGCAGTTAAAGGTCATAGCTACAACTTTAATTTTCATTAAAACTATTTTTTTCCAAAATGAATACATCCAGAGAATGTCTAGAGTGGTGCAGAATAAAAGTATTAATTTTACTGAAAATAATAAGATATACAAAATTGTTTTATGAATTTTGATGAATTTAAAACCTATAAATATTTATCAATGCCAGTCATGTAAGGATACACTCAGGTGTATCAAGATCCTAGTAGCGCTTTAATATAGGTGATAATTGCTTCATCTCTGCAATACGTTTCTCCAATTCAAGCCAAAAGGAACAAGGGTGAACATCATTAAGGTTTTAAACATTGGTGAAGACAAGGAAGCAAAGGGCCACAGGAGCCACTGGCAGGTTACCACTCATCTTCTGAGAGGTAAGTTAATATTTACTAATACTAACCTGGCTAACCGTAAGGAACGACAGTTGGTTACTGGACATAGAGAGTCAAACTTTCAGGGCCTGGCTGGAAAAGTGGTAAGTCACCCATCCTGCAAACAGAAGGCCTGGGTTCTTATCCCAGCTGGGGGGTGTGAGCTGCCAGTGTGGGTCCTTATGCAAGAGCCTTCAAACTAATGCCTGCTTTGGGGGATTGGTGGCCTAGTGGTTAGGGCGTTGTGCTTGGAGTTCTGAGTTCGAGCCCAGACTGCCGTTCTTGCTCTCTGTGCTAAGACCCTTAACGCCACACTGCTCCCCGGTCACCACACAATGGCAGACCACCGCTCCCCATGGTGATGGGTTAAATGCAGAGAGTTAATTTCAGTGCTCTGTACTTGTGACATTGTAATGACAATAAAACGCTGGAAAAAAAGAAAAAAACTTGTAGCTATAATCTTTAAACTGACCGTTTTGGTTTAAAACAATCTGGGCACTAACCTGAAAAAAATCGTTATTAACCTGGAAAAACAACAAATATAATAACTATCGACCCCTTTTACCACGCTGGACATTTCTTTTGTCTTTTACATAAAATACATCAAGGCAAAACAAAGTAAAATTATCAATAATTTAAATAAATATCTCAACGTTTGCATTAATTCCATCTCATCATCATAGATTTAGGACATAATGGTTTCCATTTGACATTGCTCTTCATCCTCTTTGAAACCATTTATTTTGCTCGCTTTCAATACTGGATCGTTCAGTCTTTTCCAGACTGCTGTAGGTGAAGGCAGACATCTTGAATTTAAAAATAGGAATCCATTGTTGCGCAGTTTGCATTTCTCCCATTCTGTAGAAATGCATTGTTGAAGGGGCTGACATTTCATCCTCATATTTCATGCTGGCTTCATTCTTTTATACCTTATCCCAGTCACTAATATTAGACATCTCCTCTGAAGTTCACATAATGGAAGGACGCAGGCTGAACGTTTACCTTGGTATTTCTTTTCTTCGGTAAATCCATCAGGACAGGTTCATGCTATTGATGAATGGAATTAAATATTGTGAGAAGTACATTTTCCCTCCCACCACTGCCCTGCTGGTCCACCTTTCCTACTTGATCCTCACCATTTCAGTTTGAGTCTTTATCATTGTAGGTAGCGGTAGACTTTAAAGCAATGGTTACCAGAGTCGGCGACCACCACATGTCCGTCGGAGGTCAGCGCCAGGCCCTGTGGTCCATACAAAGGGTCTGCTGATGTGTTGATGTAAGACAGGAAGGAGCCACTACCATCAAAAACCTGAAAAATTGAAAATGTTAGTTATAATTGGGGGGTTTTAGCACCATTATGCAATGTAACCCCCATAACTTAGTGTTGTACCTGTATTCTACTGTTACCCCAATCAGCTACAATGATGTTCCCATTTATATCCACAGCCACACCAGTGGGAGCGTTGAACTGGCCATTACCTTCCCCGTTTGAACCAAACTTCAACACCAACTCGCCCTCTGCAGTAAAAACCTGACAGGACAAAAATATCATACGGTACACAGTGATAAGTTGTGTTGTTTCTTTCATTAGTTAAAAAAAAGAATAAATGCAGTCTGTTTGACACCTTAACAGAGTGGTTGTGAAAGTCGGTAACAATGATCTCATTGTTCTTGTTCACCGCCGCAAAGTGTGGACCTTCGGGACAAGAGAACGAAAACAACAGCAATCAGATGTTTTCATTTGAAATGTTTTGCCCTCTTTAAAGGCCTAGCCGACGATTTAAAAGATATTAATTAACACTATAATACACCCAGATTTAAGAATATTTTGTTATAATTATTGATAAATGTATTTCTGTTCTGTTGAATCCACTGATATAACGTTAAACTGAATATACAACAGCTCAGGGGGAAAACATATTTTGCCAGAGTTTAAAGGTTTACCTGCAAACTGCTTGTCACCATTGCCCCGACTCCCAAACTTGGCAATTAGTTTGCCAGTAAGCTGGAAGATGAAGACTGTACAGGCCTTGTTGTCAACGACGATCACGTGACCATTTTGGTCCACAGAAACACCTTTTGGCCCCATGAGTCTTCCAGAGCCAAGTTTCGCCTTCGACACAGCAAATACAACAGTTATGTCAAAAATCCTAACCATCCATGATGGAAAAGGAAAGGAAAGTATCAGGCAATCTATGGTACTACCTTAAACTTGCCCTCGCAGGAGAATATGCTGACCCACTTGTTATCATAGTCGGCGATGATTATGTCGCCACTGGGGTGCACAGCTACTCCCGTTGGTCTCTGCAACTGGCCAGGAGATCGTCCACGTACCCCAAAACGAGTCTTAAACTCACCCTCATTGGAGAAAATCTGTTGGAGGGAATTTTATAAATTGTAAAATAAAACTTAGCTTGCCCTTATTAGCCCTTTGAAAGTTCTCCAGTCCAGAGAAACTGAGTTATACCTGAACACACTGATTGTTGCTGTCAGCTATCAGAATCCTGCCGTTGGAGGAGGCAGCTACTCCTTGAAGGTTTGTAAATTCGCCTTTATTTCTACCTTTGGTTCCTTTAAAACAGGAAAAAAAAACAAGAAGTTATCTGTTTAATCTTGTATGATATTTTCAATTGTTGTACAAACTTAAAACTTGTTGTACAAACTTCGAAAAGCTTCTATCAGTGAGCCCCAGGGCAGCTGTGACTAAATTGTAGTTTACCATTATCAGTGTGTTAGTGCGTGGGTGAATTAATGAATTAATGAATTTAGTTGTTAGGTCTATTCAATGAAGATTATAAAGTTAATGTGTGTGCATATGGAACATTGGAGAAATGAGATGCTTCACTCTGTTTACTGCAAACTGTCATGCAACGGTGGTAGAAAATTGCTGATGTTTGTGCAAGGCTAATCACAGTTATCAGGAGACCACTCTATTCTGTGATTCAATCAGGAGCATTTTTTCCTATGACCTGATCAATTGCCTTGTCAGAAGAACAATCTATTTTGTAACCCACCCCATGTGTTATGATCTGCTAATAAAAAGGCTTTGCAGAGGAAGTCAGTCAGAGAGTAGATGTAGCTGAATGTAGCTCTCTCCTTCTGCAGAAGCCATTAAAAAATCCCTCTTCTGTGTAGACTCAGTTTCTCTTTTATGAACCTACATTTTTTAACCTAACATTTTGGTGCCGAAACCCGGGAGTCAAGATTCAATTGTCCAGGACCGTGTGGGACCAAGGCCAAGAATCTGTCGACAGCTGTCCTCCCTTCTCCGGACGGAGCCAGTTTGGTCCAGCCCTGCCCTGGGCATCTTGGTGACGACTCCCGCTGAGGACTGGTCTACATGGCAAAGGGTAGGCCTAAAGCTTTTTATCAAAAGTTGGTCTGGGACCATTTAAGTAACAGCTGTAATCGCAAGAATATTTGACGAGACCAAGTCTTGTTGACATATGTGGCATCTGGGTATTCTGTGCGTTTGAGTCTGGGACTCTGTGTTGTTCTCGAGATAGTAAGGTTTGCAGCTGCCGCAGCAGGGATATTTGACGGAACCAAGTTTTGTTGACAGATGTGACATCTGGGTATCCGGTGCGTGCAAGGGCCTGGAGTTTGAGACTCCAAAGTGTACACGTAACGATAGGTGTTTTGCATCTATATTGGTTAAAATAAAAAATATATAATAGACCTTAAAATAGGAGTAACTGTGTGAGAGTGTGTGAGGAAACAATCGAACCATTGGGTTCTGTTGTTTCATGCAGGGGTTTAATACAGTACAGCTCTTGTGGATGCAGAGGCAAGAATTTCTCACCTGAAAAGGTAGAAGCAGAAATTACCACAACAGTTTTTGGGTACTGTCCTGCTGAATAAACATCCAGTGCGTAGAATATCCTAGGTGTTTGTACTGGACTAAATTCCTTAAAATGGGTAAAGGTCAAAATTAATTTAGAGATAATTTAAACTCTACTATTAGAAGTTTGTAGAAGCGCAGGATCCAACAAAAAATAAACACTTGAATATATGGTTTAAAAAAAATATATGGGTTTGAGGGACGCCTCTATTCCAAAAATAATAAAATAACAAGAACTAAAGAATAAAATAACAAAAGAGAGCCAAGGAGGTAAAAGAATTAAAAAGGATGGGTTCAGGGAAGAGTATAGAGAAGATCATAAGGGGTCTTTTAAGTTGTTTGTGTGTCCAAAAGATAATGAAACACAGTTTAGAGGGAGACAGTTTGAATCTGCAGCCACGGGGGGGGAATGTCGGTGGAGCATTGATCCAACTGACAGCCTTCCTAGTGCATCTGCAGGGTCTCCAAAATTATTAGGTTCGGAACCAAAAAATTAAAAATAAATAACCAACCAGAAAATAATTTTAGTCATGCAAGCTACATACAGGGAATGAAAAAAATTAGAGGGGTTAAAATTGTAGATGTGTATGGAGCATGGGGGATATTAAATGCATAAAAAAAACATGACTAGTTCTAGCAATTAATGGACAGGCAGTTAGACTTATATGCTATTCAGGAGCCTGTAATACTTGTGTTAAAGATAATGTAAATACTCAAACCATCTAAAAGGCAATTTTTTGTAAAATCAGCAAATGGTCAAACATCCTAGGAATTGATGTCAAGGGCAATAGAAATAGAAGACCTTCAAACAGGAAAAAGGTTGCAAGGTTGCATGTTTTTGTAGTAATATCACCAACTCACCCCATTAATCTGTTAAAGTGAGACTTGATGGATAATTAGGCATTGCAATTTTCCCCACACTGGGGGGAATGAAGGCTGTATGAATAATACATGTAATGGTTTTGCAACTAAATTCTTCTGTGTTTTATGCAACATGCCTAGCATTTCTACTCCATGTCTATTTTTCCAACTATGGAAACAACCTTATAAAATTCTGTTCAATGTAAACCCCCAGGTTCAAGATTTAGCATGTGTTAAAATAACTCAGCATTCTTTGAAATCACAATCTGATGAAAATGATTTCAAAGATATTCCAAATGCTTTGTGGTCTACAGGAAAAATTGATGTAGGACTGTTGACAACTGTAGATCCAGTTGAAATAGTTCCTAAATTGCAATACAGGCCAAGGATAAAACAATATCTGCTAAAATTTGAAGCATAGGAAAGTATAAAACCAGTTATAAAACATTTTAGTGGGTGCTGAAACAAGTCTGTTGCTTGGGCCATGTTATTTCAGAAGAAGATAAAAAGCTACAAGAAGAGTGTAAAAATTGTAATAGCAGGAGCATAAGCCAGTAACTAAAGAACAAATGTCTTTATAGAATTGTGCAGTTACTGCAGAGCTTAGATTCCACATTATGAGGAACAAAACTCAGCTTTTCTTAAGTTTTTTTTATGACACTTGTAGCTATGTCAGAGACAATTTAATGGATCCCAGAAGTAGAACAGCAATTCACAAAGTTAAGAGTAGAACTTTTCTCAGCAACTGTCTTAGCTCTGCAAAATTATCAAAAACCGTGCATCTAAGTAGTTGACAGTTAAGCAAGTTATATGACCTCTGTGTTGTTACAGTCTCATGGTGATAGGCTCATACCTGTAGTGTCCTACTCTTAATGGTTAAAGAGAACCCGTGGAAACAGTAGGTCCCCTATATTCTTATTTTTTTATCTTTATTATATTGTGTAGTTGGATGTATGTATATATATAAAACTGTGACTGAAGCGTGTAACAAAAGTAATTTCCCTCTGGGATAATTAAAGTCTTTCTGATTCTGATTCTGATTGAAAGCAGCAGCTATTTTGAGCCATGAGTTTATCATGTCTCCACAGGAGGGATATTGGGTATAGTATGTATAGTAAAACAAGTATTTAATCCAACTGCAGGATCAAATAACATTTTTTTTGCAGAACATGTCTCACATGTTGCGAAGAACATGTAATCTGCCCAGAGCTCCTTTTGTTTCCCCACAGGAAGGCCTGAAGCCTGGAGACCAAGTGCTGATTAAAATCATCAAGGGGAAAATTGGGCAGCTCCAAGGTGTGAAGGACCCTACATTGTGCAACTAGCAACTCCAACCGCTGTGAAGATCCAGGAGAGAGACACTTGGATCCAGCAGAGTCATTGTAAGCTGATTAAAGACTTTCCCCAACAGGAAGCCCAGTTACCTTCACAGGGACCCCACGACTAAGGTAGGGATCTGTGGTGAAGCCCAGCTACAAAGGGATTAAGCAAATTAGAGCTTTTCCTCTCAGCGCTGGTAAAGAAACCAACCTAACCCAGTCCCTTAGCGTACTGGTTAGTGGGTGCTTCCTTGGAGGAACTGGTGAAGCTGGGAAAACTAAAGTGGCTCTGCTGCTTGATGGTGACCATTGGACTGGTGCTCTTCAGGACTCAAATTGACCGCCAGAAACAAAGGAAAACCAGAATGGTTTTTGATGGATCCAAACCAAGTCATCTCTACAGTGCCAAGATGTGGTGGCAGCATTCCAAGCGCGTTGCTGAAGGTTTGAACAAAACAGACTGTTCACACCTCCGGTGCAAGTCCATCACTATGGACAAGTTGGTTCACCATGGTATCATGGTGGCAGGTGCTGATGAAGATAGCTTTACCATTTGTAGGATTGTTCTTATATTTTTCCTTTTTATTTGTTGCTTAATAGCATGCCTCCAGTCAATGATTCAGAGAATGATAGGATCCACTCCAATCCAGTATTCAGCTGTAACTTATGTTCAACTCCGCCAAGATGCTGGTGAGGATACTGATGGTGTGGCAACGGTGTAATCTGTTACAGGGATAATGATCGCTTCCTAGGGAAGGATCGGGTAGGAATTTTCCCTCTATTGGAGAGGTTTTGCCTACTCAAGGGACAGGTTTTTGAAGCTTTTTACATTCTTAATAAATTTAACATTTTTGCTTAAGTTTTACATTTTAATCTTTTTCATATTTTTGGTTTTGCATATTAATCTTTGATTACTGAATTTCCTATCTGCAATGCATTTATGATGTGTGTAGTAAAAATCTTTTTAGAAGTGCTACATGCTGATGTTTATATGCACAACAGGAGGGAAATGTTAGGGTTATTCAATGATGATTATAAAGTTAATGTGTGTGCATATGACACATTGGAGAAATGAGATCCTTCACTCTGTTTACTGCAAACTGTCATGCAATGGTGATAGAAAATTGCTGATGTTTGTGCAAGGCTAATTACAGTTATCAGGAGACCACTCTATTCTGTGATTCAATCAGAGGAGCATTTTGTCCTATGGCCTGATCAATTGTCTTGTCAGAAAAACAATCTATTTTGTAACCCACGCCATGGCCTAATAAAAAGGCTTTGCAGAGGAAGTCAGTCAGAGAGTAGATGTAGCTGAATGTAGCTCTCTCCTTCTGCAGAAGCCATTAAAAATCCCTCTTC